GCACATGCCATGCTCATGTGGTTGTATTCTTTAAAAAAAAAAAAAAAAGGTTTATTTATTTATGCATGCAAGAGCTGGGGTATGGGCCAGAGGAATGGGGGCAGAGGGGGTGAGAGAATTCACCAGAGACAGAGTGGGGAACAGCACAGGCAGATTAATGGAAATAAACTTCTGAGGGGAGCAGCGGGAGAGACAGGAGAGGTCTGCTGTGCCATGTGGGTCAACTCCCTGGCTGGGGATCAAACTCTAGTGCTGCAGTAGCTGTGGATATCTTCATAGTGCTGCTGCTTAACCCCTTGCACCACCAGGGAGGCCCCTCATGTGGCTGTATTCTTTAAAGTGTGGCACTGGCTTGAGGAAGGATGGGTCAGGGCTCATGGGTATCCAGCTGTAAAGACATGAGTGTCACCTGGGCTGGAGCACTGGGGTGGGGGAGTGGCAGACAGTGGGCATCTGGAGGGCCAGCCACACATGTGGGTGATATCCCAGGGGACTACGCAGTGGCTGGGGCACCCAAGTTTCAGGGTATCACCAGTGACAACATCCCTCCTGGGGCTCTGTGCTCTGGAACCAACTCACAAGGACTTTCCCATAGCTCACCCTCTAGCTTGTGGGTTCTGAGACCAGCTTTCAAGCATTTATTCCAAAATCCTCTCACAAAATATGTTAAGTGAAAAGAGCAAACTGTAGAACAGTGTGTGCTCTCTGCAGTCGTTTTGCTTAAATAAGAAAAGGAGAGAAAAAAAATACACATGACTTGTAAAAACAAAACCAGACACAGACAACAAAACAAAGTGTTTCTGGAAGGATCAGGTAGTGGTGTGGAGAAATGGAACCTGGGCAGGTAGGAGAGGCCCCAAGGAGACTTTTCGGACCTTTTTTTCCTTTTCTCATTTTCGATACATGAACCGCGTGAATGTACCATTTCAAACAAGGTAAAGGATTTTAAAGCTCTTCATTGATTTGTGGGAGGATTTACAGATGAAGAAGATAAAGATCCAGGAAGCCAGGTCTCCATTTGAGGCCACGGGTGTCGCTGACAAGTCAGTGAGGCAGGTCAACCCCAGCTGGCTTTCCTGCCAAATCCCACAGACCTACCGCCTGCCTCAGCTCTTCCCTGCCACACGCTCAGAGGTCATCACCTGGATAATCACTGCTACTGTCCACCCCCATTGCACCTTCTTTTTTTTTTTTTAAAAGATTTATTTATTTATTTATTTATGCAAGCACTGGGTACAGTCAGAAGCGCGGGAGGGTGAGAGAATTCACCAGAGCCAGAGCGGGGAGCAGAGCAGGCAGAAGACCGAAGTACACTGCTGAGGGGAGCAGCGGGCACCAGGAGAGGTCTGCGCGCCATGTGGGATCCTCCTCTGGTGGCCGAGGAGCAGCCAGGGATCAAACCGGCGCTGCAGAGGCTGCGGGCAGCTTCGCAACCCAGCGCTCAACCGCTGCGAAACCAGGGAGGCCCCCCGTTGCACCTTCTTTATGTCCCAACCATATAGTGCATGGTTTGGGCCACAAAGGAAAACATCTGATACCCTCTGCATTGGTCTTGGAGTGGACAAGTAATCAAAACTGTAGCACACAAAAAGGAAAAATAATCAATTTAATAACATGTATGGAGAATTTACAGAATTGAAAAATATTGGAGTAGACCAGGGATATTTAACAGAGGCAACAAGGGAGGGAACTTTAAGTGACAGACAAGACGGGTGACCTCATCCTTACTTTGAAAGAGATGAGATTCTTAGAGAGGACGTGTGCACTCTTAAATCAACAATTGGGTGAGACCCCCAAACTACACTCTTCAGCTCATAGAAGGAGGAGCAATGCTTACTTCTCTGATTAGGAGAAGAGCAGAAGCTCTTCTCAAAAATCTCATCTTTGGCTAAGTTCAAGGACTTAGGCAAGGACAGCAACTCCTCCTCAGCCTCAAGGGACTTCATTACTCTTAGCTCAAAATACCCTGCAAGCCAGAGCAGGGCATCTGGAGGAGACCAGTTCTGAGAATCTTGGGGTGATCTGATTAAGGCATCTTCAGTGGCATTATGGTTTTCTGATTATATATTTGTCTTCTTAATAACTATCCCCTTAGAAAAACTTGCTATTTATTATTGATTCTGATGGCCACCAAATTTAATGAGTTTTCCATTACAAATGGAAGCTAGGAGGCTCATTATTGACTGAGTAATTGTGTCTCCCCAAATTGCATATATTAAAGCACCAACCTCTGATATGATAGTGTTTGGAGGTGGGGGGTTGGGGAAGTGATTAGGTCATCAGGGTGGAATCACCCTCATGAGATCAGTACTCTTATAAGGAGAAGATATCAGCATCCTTTTTCTCTTGACCATGAGTAGGTACAGCTAAAAAGACCTACTATCCATAAGAGACATTTCACTAGGAACTGAATCAGCCAGCACCTTGATCTTGGACTTCAGCCTCCAGAATTGTGAGGAATAAATGTTTGTTGTTTAAACCACCCACTCTGGCATTCTGTTAACAGCCCCACACCAACTAAGACTTAATTAGATCAGCACAAGGTCACATAGTTTGTGAGCTATAGGACTGAATTTGAGCTTGGATAACTCAGATTCCAAATCCCACATTTCTCTCTACATCATGCTCTTTCTTTATGAGACTGGAAATGTCTTCATTTTCTTGTTTTGCCAACACCTTCTAATGCCTGGCAAAAGATGCTGGCTGAATTTGTCGTCTGCATGAACACAATAGTTAGAAAGACTCAGATTGAGCTCCAGCCTATGACAGGAAGATTATCTTGGCCATTGTTGGCAATCTTCTGGGATTTTCCAGCAAGATGGCTATGCTGGTCTCAATGTTATCTGGCAAAGTTAACTCCTTTCCTGCAATCCTATCTTGGCATCCTGAAACAGAGGGACAGATCCATAACTTTGACAAAATTCACCAACTCCAAGAATAGTCATGAAATAAAACTACTTTCCAGGCACCCCAGGAGGTAGAGACAAAGAAGCATTTGAAGGGGTTCCATTTTATCACAATCAGTTCTGGAGTGGCTGATTTTAGGGTGCTGTTGTCTACAGTAAAACAAAATGTGTTGCCAATACGCTTTGACTTTGCATTTCCTGCCTTTTTGTTTCAAATGATAACCTGCCTGAAGGGACCATAATGAAGTCCTTTCCTTCTCTTTCTATTAAGGGAACTCAAGTGTGCCAAGTCACTGGGAACCTCCTCACTTTTTTGCTTTATTCCCAGCCTGACACTTCACACGACATCGTGTCTATCTTATTCATCACATTTATAAACAGGTGCTCCAGTATCATACCATGCCTGAGAGAAAGCACACCTCTGAAAGGCATTCAAACATTTAGATGCAACCAAAATACACATTTTCATCCTGGTATTTTTCTCTGTCTCTCTCACACTGGGAAAATCCTAGTGCACTTCTAATGGCTGGCCAAAGTCCTTGAGCACAGCCCATTTCACAGCACTTAGCTCCTAATTGAAATTTCACAGTACAATACTTAAGACACAACTCCAAATTGCATCGCCATTTAAGTAAATGTGTTTTCTAGCCATTTAACTGTATGTGATTTCCTCTTGGCTATATGCTTCTTATGATTTTCTTTTGGTTGTTGTTGCAATTAAAGCCCTCAGTATTTATTTGTGGATGTTCTAGAATGTCCTTTACCTCTGTGAATTGAATTTAACCCAGTGTTGAGGTTAATAGTCTCACAAGACTGTGTGCCTTTGGAAGGAAAGAGAACATTTCCATCATCAGAGACCAGACCAGTTCTTGGCACTCTATCCCAAACTTTTCCAGACTGTCAGTCCTTATTGGTTCTTTACTTGTTCCAGACCTTATCCTACTATGAGATTGTGTGGGGATTTCTGGGATTTTCCACCAAGAAATACAAGCTATATTTAAAGAATAATTCCTTCAGAAACATAAAAGTCTGTTAACAGGACAGGTCACAATATCAACCCCTTTCCTTTCTGGATTAAAAAAATATATTATGGACACAAAGGATTAAGTCTCAGCACTATGAAGCTATTGGCAGCCACTGTAGCAAGAGTTTCAAACCCTAGCCATGGAGTTAACCCACATATGGTGAAGCAGACCTGGCCTGTCTCACCCACTGCTCATCTCAGCAGTGTATTTTGGTAGATCCACCTGCTCTGCTTCCCACTCTGTCTCTGGTGAATTCTCTCATCCCTGCACCTCTGGCCTGTACTCCTGTTCATGTATGCATAAATAAATGAAATAAATCTAAAAACCTTTTAAAAAAATATATTATGGAAATTCCAAATAAACAAAATGATAGAGCAGTTTAACGAATATCCATGCACCCATGTTCCAGCTTCAACAGTGATCAATCTTTTGCTTTCATCTACCACACTCACTTCCATTTATATTTTGTTTGATTTTGTGCTAGGTTGCTTGCTAGAGAATTTGAAAGATGTGTCATATCACTCCTTAAATACTTCGTGTCTCTGATAATGACTTTTTTTTTTTTACTGTCACCACTATGACCTAATTATACCTAACAGAATCAACTGTTAGTGAGCCATTACCTCCACCTAATACCCAGTCCTTACTAAATCTTCCCAGTTGTCTCGGAGACAGCATTTCACAGTTGATTTGCTTTGAATCAGACCCAAATAAGTCCGCATATTGCTTTGATTTTTATAATTCTGGTTTCTTTTATTCTCTGAGTCCCCCTACTCCTTTCCTCCAGGCCTTCGATTTGTGGGTAACCCCAGTCTCTGGAATACACCTTCCCCCACCCATTTCTAGACTGGAGACATGGCTTCCTCATAGGATCATCTCACTCCCCTATAATACTCCCTGCAAATTGGTGGCAGGTCACCCTTGCCAGCCCATTCTTCCCAGAACCTCCAGGGCACACAGCAGAGACCCTCATTAACCAACTCTCTCAGATTTGCCTCTTTTCTTGTTTCAGTTTCATTATTTTTAGGTATGGTAAGGCCAACAGATCAGGAGACAAGTGCCACTGAATGATAGTTTTATACTCAGGGATTTCAAGAGACCATGGGGGCCAGACAGGAGAGCTGGCATCGGACATGGGGCAGAGCGAGAGGAAGGTGAACGTGGGCAAGAGCCTTTGTTGTGGTTTCCATAAGGAGGAATCTGAAGCAGAGTCAGCAGGCTTGGCTTGGGCTCCTTTAAATAATTTTAGGATTCTGGGGCTCAAGGGAGTACCTCGTTGTCTGGTACCTGGCTCTGAGGTGATTACAACAGAGTAGAACAAAGAGATGTTGAAAGAGAAAGTGGTTGGGGTGTGGGCTCTGATTCAGTTCATCTATATTTGAAAAGAAAACTCCTGGCAGAAAGAATCTTTCCAAGGAAGGGAGGCAGAAGGCCAAGATCAGGGTACTCAGGCAAGACACTGGATTATCTGGAATGAGGCGTGTCCAGCAGGCACATGTTACAGAATCCCACGTACGGAAGCCAGAAGCGTGGTCCACACAGCTGGCTCATCTCTCCATGCTCCCAGATGTGCCTGATGAGGGCAAAAGACACAATCATTTCCCATTTGCCTTTCCTGACAATACCAAATTTTAAAAACAAAAGCTGTCCCATCTGGCTTAGCCTTCAATCCCACTTATCTGAAAATTCTTTGGCTCTCATCACAGTGCATCTCTGCTGTTGCCTTGGGACCCATTTGAATGATAGAATTTGGAGGGAAATTTTCCTCTCTAACTGCCTTGTGCATGGGGGAGATGACTATTGTAGACATTTATAATTTGAGAGCAATCAGTTTCTTCCTCAGGGAGAGAATCTAAGTAATTAAAAAATATGATTATTAATGTAAGAATAATGGGACAGTGATCCTGCTATTTCCGAACAGCACTAAAATGTCTTTAACCACGAAAGATTTGTAGGAAAGAAAGTGAATTGACAACCTAAGATAGAAACCAATTTGGAATACAATTAATTTTGGTGCTCTTGAAAAGTGATGCATTTTACATTATGGCAAATGGTTGCAACTAATTACTATCCGAGGAATACTTGTAACTTGGTTATTTGTTCTTTATTTAATATAGTCTTTGTGATTGCTTGACCTCTTATTTATGAGAAGGTCTAGTTTTTCAATTTAAAATAATTACTAGCAAAAGAAGAGAGGACACAATTTTGCATGAAGCAGCAGACAGGTACAAACAGGGGCAACCTTGGCTGGCACTGAGGGCTGGGCGTCCTGTCTTCCCCTACCCCACCTACCAGAATATGCTTTCCTCCCCTCTGCACCATGGATAGGGCGCTTTCTCCCTATTTCCCCTCCTTCCATCCTAACTAGGAAGGAACAAAAGCAGACAATTAAATAACGGAAGTCACCTTACGGTACACCCAGACTATGTTAAATGCTTTACTAATATTATTGCATTCATTGCCAATTAGTCTCATAAAGGAGATACACACAGACACATTGCACACTCCTGAGATTTCTGTAGTTATATGTTAAGGCTTAGTGGCAATACATCTTGATGCAGAATCCTTAGTTGTGGTATAAGGAAACAGATTCATGTGCCTTTTATAAGAGCTATGGGTCATTTGAAATTAATCAAATATCAACTCTGGTCAATCCAGAAAAAATAATTACTCCTCTACTTACCCCCATATCTTTGCATTTTATTTTAGTTTTTGAGTTTTAAAAAGAAAACTCCCAAGTCCACACATGTGTGAAATCATCGATAAATCTACGTTTGTAGCAAAGAACTAAGAGTATCTCTGCAACATAGGCTAAACTTAAGTTTGGAAACTTATTGAATCATGTGGCATAACTGGTACTCAATTTTCCCGCAGGATTCTCAAATCTTAAGGAGGGGGCTTGTTGGGGAAAGGCCATACACAAACACTGAGTTTTGATGACCTTTGGTATTATGAGTTGACCTTTTGCCTTCTGTGGGCTCTTCCTACACCCACAGGCTGAGCAGCTCCCCATTTGAGTGTGTCCTGTACCCATAAGTGTCCTCTGTACAAGATGATTATGTTTCCTTTCTCATTCTGGAGGGAGGATAAGTAGGGAACTGGGGCCTATTTTCAAAGCACCTCAGCTTTGATGCCTGCAGGACCCAGAAGGGCATTAAATCTTAACTGCCAATCACTGGACTCACCACTCTTCCAACTGCCCGAGCTCCTGGATGGAAAAGTGACTCCTCCAGGCACAAATGGAGACCAAAAAGCCGGGCTTGTTCTCAAGCTCTTCCTTCAATGAAGGCACATAGTCAGTGTCCTGTATTCCTCACAATCTTCTTTTTTTTAAAGATTTATTTATTCATTCATACAAGAACTGGAGTATAGGCCAGAAGCGCGGGAGGGTGAGAGCATTCACCAGAGACAGAGCAGGGAACAGACCAGGCAGACTGACAAAATACACTGCTGAGGGGAGCAGCGGGTGAGTCAGGAGAGGTCTATGGCTCCATGTGGGACCCTCGCCAGCCGACCAGGATCAAACCAGCACTGCAGAGACTGTGGACAGCTTCACAGCGCTGCACTCCACCACCTGCGCCACCAGGGGAGGCCCTATTCCTTGCATTCTAATGCTATCAAGAGTTCATGTTTATGTTCCATCGCCTTGGCCTTTCCAATCACTGAACATGTAATATTCTACTCTTCTAAATTATATTTGGCAGGAGGTATAAACAAAATTATAGACATAGCTACAAAGGAAAATAAAAATTACCATTTGAGCAATCTCTGGCCTGCACATTGAGAAGCCCATGAATCTCAAAGGCTGTCCTCTGAATCCTCACCATAAATTTCAATCCTGCTGAGGGAATCTGCTGTATTTCACTTCTTATAATTATACAGCCCCAGCAAAAAGGGAGCTGTGCCTTTGTTATAAACTCTCAGCATTAACAAAAGGTTTCGTGCAAAATCCAAGCTCCCATTTTTCTTTCAGATTTGCATCGGCACTTGTGTCCTGATATTAAGTGGCCTATTTCTACCTTCATAGAATAAATAGGTGGCAGGATCCATGCATTCTTTTCATTTTAGTTTTTGGCGTTTACAAGTAAGTGATGTTCATGCAAAAATATCTATGCTTGTAGGAAAAAAATGTGGGATCAAACCATTCCAGTTTATGTCTTAGAAGAAAACTCTGAGGGCCTCCCCTGGTGGCGCAGTGGTTGAGCGCTGGGCTGCGAAGCTGCCTGCAGCCTCTGCAGTGCTGGTTCAATTCCCGGCCACCGGCAAGGGTCCCACATGGTGCGCAGGCCTCTCCTGCCGTGCCCACTGCTCCCCTCAGAAGTGTGTTTTGTCAGTCTGCTTGTTCTGCTCCCCGCTCTGGCTCTGGTGAATTCTCTCATTCTCCCGCACTTTTCACTGTACCCAGTGCTTGTATAAATAAATAAATAAATCTTTAAAAAAAAAAAAAAAAAAAAGAAGAAGAAAACACTGAGCTTTGAAATCAACTTGGTCCTCGAAAGGAGAAAGGCACTCTCTGAGGTGAGAAGTCGCTTTCTAGTCCTCTATTAAAACAAGGACAATTGTCAAATGGACATGCTTGTGCTAAGGCCACCAAGACTCAGTACCTAACCTAACTGCAGTTTTAGTTTGTACCAAGAATGTTGTCTTAAGTGGACAATATGGAATTTCCTTTTTATTTATTTTTATTTTATTATTGTTATCATCATCATCATCATCATTATTGAGGTAACACTGATTTATAACACTGCATATGATTTGGAGATATAGGACCATATACTTCATGTGTTGTTACCCACCATGCCCACCACCAGGACACCCACAGTCCTCTACTATAGTCCATGGTGTTCGCTCCACACTGTGCTCTCCCCTCTACTCCGGTAGCCTCAGTTCCATAGTCAGTTTCCTAGGGCTTATTTTTGATTTGACTTTATTTGACACTTTGTTTTGTCTCACTTTATTCCACATTAAGTGACTCCAGGTATTTGTCTTTCTCCTTCTGACTTATTTTGCTTAGAATCATCCCTTCCAGTTCCATCCATGTAGTCACAGATGGCAAGAGTTATCTTGTATTATAGATGAGTGGTGTTCCACTGGGGATATATATACCTTGTCATCCTAATCCAGTCATCAGTCTTTGGGCACTTAGGTTGTTTCCACAGCTTGGCTATTGTAAAGAGTGCTGCAATAACAACATAGGAGTGTATATGTCCCTTGAATCAGTGTCTTTTCTTTCTTTGGGTAGATACCTAAGGGTGGAATTGCTGGATCATATGGTAGATCCATTTATCATATTTTGAGAAATCTCCCAGTATGGAACTTTCTGGTCAGCACCAATGAAGTAAACTTTTCCATTCCCAAAGGAAGATGAGCTAATCTGTCATTTTTTCCATCCCCATAGGTAGGTTACTCAAGCCTAAAATAATTCCCTTTCCCCAATTTTGCCTATAAAAATGTTCATTTTGTATGGCTTATCAGGGCACCTTTCTGCTTGCTAGCTGGGATGCTGCCCGACTCATGAATCATTTAATGGAGCCAATTAACTTGGTTAGATTTTTGTTATTTAACATTTCTTTCTTCCTCACATCTCTTTATTCAGAGGGGAACGCCTGAAATATCTTTAAAGACATACCTCATTTACTCTCCAGTTCTATATTAGTCTAAGGGTGAAGATCCCAGGGAAAGATGATCAGTCAGTGACTACTAAAACATTCATAATTAAGCTCTTGCCAAAAAGATGAAAAAAATAGAAAAAGCAGAGTGGCACAGGTCACCTGTGGGTAGGAAGGTGAAGGGAAAGGTGAGCAGTGAGGAAAGGAGCCTGTTATCGTAGAGACAAGCATCACATAGGAGTCCGCTCTTCTAGTCCAAAGTTCTTATGTCGAAAGGTCACAGGAATGATTTTGGGTGGACATCAAGCAGTATGCATGAGTTTTATTAGCTAAACTCTAAGTTCTGATTTCAGCAAAATAATCAGTCAACAGATTATTATTATGTGTAGTTAACATTAAATATATATTTTTAATATTATATATGATAATATATATATATTTGTTCAATTAAAATTTGCTTCATACCTGAAAGGAGGTGGGACTCTGGAACATTCCAGATCAGAAGGGGATGGGGCACACTCACGTCTGCCAGGATTGTTTGCCTCCACTTTGGATCACCTGTGAATCCCTGCTCTCTGAAATTTCCCTGCAGAAAAAAAGATTACTTGGAGGATATAGGACCAATCAGACTTAGAGCTAACTCCTTTCTTCACTCATCTGTCTCATCACCTGTCGCTTGGCTTCCTGAACCCAATCCTATCTCATGTGTGATTTATAAGACATGAACATTACGTGATTTCTCCTGCGGATTTGTAGAAATACTTATTAGTTCAAACAGTCCAAAGATCTCATTTGTTTATTTCAAAGAAAGCGCTCCTTTTGTGGTCATCTTAGATGGATGAGCACATACCTTCATTGACTGCATCTTCCTCCCTTATCAGGTAATCAGGCCATACACTGGAGAGGAGATAGAAAAGGGGAGAAGCAGGCATGAGAGGCTATTCCCTCTGAAAAGTTCAAGTAAGAGATAAATGATGGTCGCACTATGAATAGCTACACATAAATCTCAACACTTTTTAATCCATCTCTTGTCCTGCATAAAAGAGCTGAGTTCAAAGCTCATAGTAGCACAGAGAGCTGTGGGCACATTCTATAATTAGCAGTAAATGACTTCCCCAGAAAATCCCCTCCGTTACTGACTTTCATCCACAAAATGCCACCCTGTTTTTTTTTTTCCCCCTTAGTCCTCAAATTAAGGAGACACAAACCAGTGCTGATTTTCCCACTGGCCAGCTAGTTCTCATGGCCCCACATCAAAGGAAAACCATTGCTTTATAGAACAGTCATCAGTCCAATAATCTTGCCTAATCAAATGTTTTAAGATTGAAATATTGGCTCTTTAAATAGCCATGTAGCCAATAGGTTGTGTGGAGCATCCATTATCACTGACCAAATGATTTGTTGTTTTTAATTAAATCCAGTAACAGTTATTGCCACTTGTGCACTAATCTCAAAGACTGCAGTGTTTTTGGAGATGATGAATCTAACTTCAATAAAGCAATGTGCAAAGTTCCTTTTTTATTAAATTTAAATTAGTTGGAGAGTTTAAATAAATCATCACTGAATAGAAGAGTGAGCAAATATTATCAGCTCAATAAATCTCTCCCTGTACATTGAAGAAGATGAGCTTATATTAACTGTTAGGCTGCATAGGAGAGTTACAGAGTCACATCAACTGGAAGTACTTGGGGAAATAACTCATAAATGAAACACTAAGATACAAAGGGAACATTTCTTTTATATTTATCTTCAAGGCTTCCGTTCTAATTTCAACGTTTCCTCTTCTTGCTCTGACCTCACTGCAGCACTTGTAAACTCAGCAGTATTATCAATATGATCTGTCATTTCTATGGCAAAGGTAACCCAAGTAGGGTAGGAAAAGATTAAAAAAAGGAAGACAGCTACTAAGGTTTTCTGTGTGTTTTTAGACCCAGTAGATAACTAAAGCAGTTCATTTCCATAGTAACTTAAGGTTTTTTTAAAATTGCATTTCTTTCCTGACAACAGGAAGGGAAATACAGTAAACCTTACTTTTAATAGACTCATCAGTAAATTGAGCGGGTTTTAAATAGGAAAATAGCATAGCCTCCCCTGTCAGGTGATTTACAGCATATTCTCTCTTTTTTTAAAAAAAGATTTATTTATTTATGCATACAAGAACTGGGGTACAGGCCAGAGGTGTGGGGGGTGAGAGGATTTACCAGAGAATTAGTGGGGAACAGAACAGGCAGATTGATGGAAGTACACTGCTGAGGGGAGCAGCAGAAGAGTCAGGAGAGGTCTGCTGTGACATGTGGGTAGCTTCCTGGCTGGTCAGGCAATCGAACTTGTGCTGCAGAGACTGTGGATACCTTCATAATGCTGTGCTTAACCCCTTGTGCCACCGCGGAGGCCCTACAGCATATTCTCTTTAAACATTGTGTGTTATCAGTTTTCGTACACACATCTCAAAGTAACCTTAAAAGTTTCATAATGCTGCTGACACTTTCTCCCTATCTACCCAATACACACACACACACACACACACATACACACACCCCAGGAAGGAGCAGTTCTCCCATGATTACAGCTGATTAAATATTCATAGGGATAAAACATTGGTTCCCTTTCACTTTTACTACCTTTTTCAGAAATATAAGCATATTCATATTCCAATATCCTGTTGGATGCTAGAACTGGCAGGAACATCAGAATGATACACCCCAGGTCCTTGTTTTAAGAGGGTGGAAACTGGGATTTAGAGCAGTGAAGTGCTACTTGTCACGGTACGGAAGCATGCGGCTGCACTCAGGAAAGAGGACTCAGAGCTCTTACCGCCCGGGCCAAAATTCTTTCCATTGCAGCAAGTTATCTCTGTTACAGGAAATTTATTGAACCAACCTAAAAATCAACTGATTGAAAACACCAAACTCCCGTCTAACATTTCATATCCAGATTGTGGTGTGCGTAGTGGAGGAAGAGCTTCAGAGGCCAAGGGTGGGCGAACTAGACTGGAAAGAGAAGCAGAGGAAGCAGGAAACTTACTCAAGACTCAGCTTTGGGTGATGGGAAGAACAGGCAGAGAGAGTCCATTGGATAATGGTGAGTGGCAACTAGAGTGTAGTAGGTGTGAAGTGGCATACACATTATTGAGTATACTTATACTCCTGAAAATTACTGTATTGCAAATCAGTGGCACCTCAATAATAATAATAATAATAATGATAAACGAACTGACTCGGCTCTGAGATGAACTCTGTGGGGTCATGGACAAGTCATTTACCATCACTGGGTCTCAATTTTTTCATTTAAAGGAGTTGGTATTATCAGATGATCTGTTTTCTTGCAGTGAGAAGCATTTGATAAATGATCAAATGGAGCTATTAATTTCATTGCATAGAAACAACAGTGATGTTATTACAACATAGTACCAGTTTCTGAGTTAGTAACAAGAAATCTAAAATGAAGAAATTGAAATGTTAGTTGTAAAAGTACTCCAAACATATGAAATATTACATTTTCAGCTATGTGTTGTTGTTTTTTTCCTACTGGCATTTCTGCCTCTTCATGCATGATGATAAATGTGTCCACTTAAATAATTAATCATTGATTGAAAAAAATATGGCATTAAAGAGTCAGTCAAGTAACTTTCCACAACAGAGTAATAATCATCAAAATTATCTCACTCTGTAAACAATTATAAAATTGGACAAAATACATAAAACAATTTTTAGGTATTGAAAAGCAGACATAACAGGACTGTGATCCTTAAGGAAAGGAAATACATAAGGTGGGTCTACATTTACCCTAGCTTCCTGCCTGGGATACTTTCCAAACTGGAGGGAGAGAACCCAAAGGAAAATCTGAATTCTAAGCTATCATAGAGGATGGAACTTGCAGAACATGGCTTAGGGGAAGGGGAATGTCATGGAGGGAAAACCTGATGTGTTTGCAAGGGAATCTCAAGTTTGATCGAATGATCTACTTCAACACTATATGGGTGGGAATCCATGAAGGTAGCTAAAGAACAACTACTGAGGTTGTGACCCAGAGATTTCAAACTTCCAGACACCCAGATTAGTGAGACCCTGTTATATATCTCAGGCATTCCACTGAGTTCCATAAAGATGACCTACTGTAGCTCTAGCCTAGTGGTTCTCAATTGGAGGCAGTTTTATCCCCCAGGGAACATTAAGTAGTGTTTACAATTATTTTTGGTTGTTACAACTATGAGGATGCTACACTTATTCAATGAGTAGGATTTAGGGATGTTGCTAAATACCACCCAATAGCACATATGAGCACATATGAGCCCCTCTCAACAAGGAATCATTCATTTCAAAATCCACTACCACCACTGTTGAGAAACCCTGATCTAATCTAGCTACTCTAGATTTGCCATTAATACGCTTGATTTACCCCAATAAAGCTTACCCTAATAAAACTAAGTCTCAATGGATGTTCAGCTAATTTAGCTACTAAATTGACTGCCTGTAAGAAAAAAATAATTCAGACTTACAACAGAGTACAGTCATTACTACATAACAATGTTTCAGTCAACAGTAGACTGTATCTGTGATGCTTATACCCAAATTCCTATTGCCTCTTGAGGCTGTAGCTATTGTAGATCATAGCATTTTATGCCATCAGCAGTCTCATACTGCTCATGTACAACTTCTCTTTATAACACCATTTTCCTTTGTGTTTGTTTTAATTTTGAGTTGTGTTTTTTTTTTTATCATAGTCCCTAAGCTACAGAATCCACTGTAAATGTTGCCAGTAAGAGATCAAAATAAGTGATTGGCCTGAAAACAAAAATAAAAATGGTTAAGTAAAAGATGAAATTAAAAGATGAGTGACAGTTATTCATCACCAGTCAGCCAAGCCCCTTTCTTTCCACCATCGATATAGTCTTTTTTTTTTTTTTAAGATTATTTATTTATTTATACAAGCACTGGGTACAGTCAGAAACGCGGGAGGGTGAGAGAATTCACCAGAGCCAGAGCAGGGAGCAGAACAGGCAGACTGACGAAATACACTGCTGAGGGGAGCAGCGGGCATGGCAGGAGAGGTCTGTCACGCCATGCGGGACCCTCGCCGGTGGCCGGGGATCAAACTGGCGCTGCAGAGGCTGCGGGCAGCTTCGCAGCCCAGTGCTCAACCACTGCTCCACCAGGGAGGCCCCATAGATATAGTCTTAAAGAACAAGAACGAAGTGACCAAAACTGCATAAGGATCTGCTCAATTGAAAGCAATGAGACTAACAAAAGTTGGAGAAGGGTCTGTATTAAATAGACACGTATTGGAGATATCCTTCCAGTACTTAATGTATGACTAAAGCAAAAGATTTGCTTGAGATGTTGAAAGAAAGGCTGAATTTAACTACTGTGTTGAATTTACTGCTAGCTCTAGGTAACTTAAATGATTCAAGAATTGTTATTCATTACATAATGTGAAAATGAATGGTGGATTTGTGTGTGTTGATGTAAAAACGATCAAGATTTTTAAAGAAATTCTAGACAAGTTGATTGTAGAGGAAAATTACTTGCTGGAACAAATCTTCAATAATGGATGAAACTTCCTTATTCTGGAAACAGATGCCTGGAAGGACTTTCATCCATAAGGAGGCCAAGTCATGCCAAGCTTCAAGGCTTTTAGGAACAGGCTAACAATATTGCTTGGGGACAATAGTGCAGGCTACAAATTAAAACCTTTTTTGATCTGGCATATTGAGAACCCCAAGGCTTTCAAGTATATCAATAAGCACAAACTGCCAGTGTACTACAGGAACAATAAGAAGTCATGGACAACTCAGCTTTCTTCCAAGATGCCCTCCTGAATTGCTATGCCAATAGAATGGGGAACTGCTATCATAGAATAACACACCTTTAAGACTTATTTCTCTTATTGAT